GGAGCTGAAAGTTCCAAACCTCTAGTCACAAGATTGGTTCCTCTGGCAACCAGCCCCCATTCGGAAGCTATCTAGGGACCCACCTAGAGTCACTTCATTAGCATAGGTTCAGGCAGGGTTGAAAGGGGTTTGTCAGGAATACCAAAAAATCCTATCAACCTCTGTCACTCAAGAAATTCCAAGGGTTGTAGAAGCTCTTCAGGGACAAAGACCAAACATATATTTCTTACTGAATCACACAAGGCTTGTGTAGTTTCTTGATTTTTTGTTTTAAAGAACAACCCAGCAGATGAGAAGACAACTTGGTGGTCACAGGAATTTCCAAGTTGCCCAGCCGCCCTGACCTATACCTCCCTTATGAATTAGCCCCTGGCCTATCCAGAATTCTGTCACTTTCAAGAACACACTCATAATTCTTCAAATCACATTTTGAACTCTTGCTTTCTGGCTAATGGATTTTGAATTATTCTAAACTAATAATTATTCAGGCTAAAGCCAAGCTTTAACCCTTTTTGGAAGGAAAGGGGGTTATGGGAACATTACACATAGTTTGAGAGCATCTTATGAAGAAACACAATTAAGAATCCTTTGCCTAAGTCACATAGGATGCTATTCTTTCTAGGCTCTTTAAATTTGTTGGTTTTTGGTTTTTTTTAAGTCCTATGCTGTAGTTTTTTCCCTAATAGTTCTCCGTGCTTCCCTATAGTGAGGGTAAAAAGGACCGGAGATGCCTTCCTATGAAATTCTGCTTCAAGACCTTCACAGACTCCACCCGCCCCCACACCCATCCTTTTACCCAGCTAACCTCTCATCCTTCTTGTTTGTTTGTTTATTTATTTATTTTTAAAGATTTTATTTATTTATTTGAAAGAGAGAGTAAGCACAAGAGTGGGGTGAGGGGCAGAGGGAGAGGCAGACTCCCCACTGAGCAGGGAGCCTGATGCAGGGCTCAATCTCAGGACCTCAGGATCACACCCTGAGCCAAAGCAGACATTTAACCAACCAAGCCACCCAGGTGCCCCCCCCTTTTTAAATGAGCTCTACACCCAAAGTGCGGCTTGAACTCACAACCCTGAGATCAAGAGTCACATGCTCTACCGACTGAGCCAGCCAGCGCCCCAAACCTCTCATTCTTTAGATCTCACTGTAAATGTCATTTCTTCAGAAAGCCCTTCCCTTACTTACCCACCCAATCTCAGTTAGGACCCTCTTAGTCTCCTATAATATGCTATAGTATCACTTCATAATTTGTCATAATTTATAATTGTCATTTGTCATAACTTGGGATTTGTCATAATTTATAATTGTACACTTTTGTGCATTCTGTTAACATTTATCCTGCCTTCTTCCTCATTAAAGGACAAGCTCTGTGTGGGTGTCCAGAACAGTGTGGCACATAGTAGGTGCTTCACCTATATTTGTTAAATGGTTAGCAGCTTTTCTGTAAAGGCCTAGGATTTTCTTTTTTTTTTTTAAAGATTTTATTTGACAGAGACAAAGCGAGAGAGGGAACACAAGCAGGGAGAGCTGGAGAGGGAGAAGCAGGCTTCCCGCAGAGCAGGGAGCCTGATGCGGGGCTCGATCCCAGGACCCTGGGATCACGACCAGAGCTAAAGGCAGACGCTTAACGACTGAGCCACCCAGGCGCCCCAAGGCCTAGGATTTTCTAAACATGGTATGCCCAGTCGTAGCTTCTAGTTTCTTGGGATACAAACTATTCATGGTGTCTTCTGAACACAGGGCCACGTCACAACAATAACCACATTTTTAAATGGCTCCTATAGTCCACATACTTGTGTGCTGTTGCTTTAAATGCATTGCTAATCTTCACAACGGCCCTGTAAGGTGGGGATTTCTACTGTTATTTTATAGACAAGGACACCAAGATTCAGAGAGGGAAATTAAATTCCTCGCAGTCACATAGCTAGAAAGCAAACACAATCAGAACTCAAACCCAGCTCAGAGTCCAGGGTCTGTGCCCCTTCTTCTCAACCCCCCGGGGGTACAGTCCAATAGGCCTGAGCACATGAGAGACCATGAGAGCAACATGTGGCCCGTTTCTGGTATTTCTTTTTTTTACCTGATGGTAAATAACATATTTTTGTGTTAAAAAAAAAAAGGACACATTTTAAAGTATAATATGGAATGAACTTAAAAGAAATTTTGAACCCAAAACACAGAAGTTAAAAGAAATGCCATGGGGTGCCTGGGTGGCTCAGTCGTTAAGCGTCTGCCTTCGGCTCAGGTCATGATCCCAGGGTCCTGGGATCGAGCCCCGCATCGGGCTACCGGCTCCGCGGGAAGCCTGCTTCTCCTCCCACTCCCCCTGCTTGTGTTTCCTCTCTCACTGTGTCTCCCTCTGTCAAATAAATAAATAAAATCTTTAAAAAAGAAATGCCATGCCTGTTGCCCAGGCCTACCTCAGGAACCTCCATGGAAAAACATGAAAAGCACTTATTTGTCACTCTTTCTTCATTTTACGTCCCTTTACCTTGTTGCTGTTTTTTTTTTAATGCCAGCCTTCCAACTCAGTCTTCATTTTCCACTCCCACCCTCCTTTCACTAGAAAAACTTAAACGTTGAAAGAAAATGGCAGTGTGTTGGCCACGGGCATGTCATTTTCAAAAGTGTTAGTCATTTATGAGGACAACTTTTTGTAGGTACAATAAATCTGATTGATTTTTATTACACATCTTAGTTTAGAATCACTTTTACATTCCTAGACAAAGAGATGATACAAATAAATATCAATTGTAAAACTTAGAGCCCCAAGTATTGGCATATTCTTTGTCTAAAGGTAGCCAAAGAGAAGGTCAAGATCAACAGTAACTCCAAAGAGCCATAAAGCCCACTGCCCCCTGCCTGCCCCAGGATCACTCCTTTCATAAATAACCTCAAAAGCATTTCATTCAAGAAAACAAGGGCGGGGAGAAAGGGAGCAGATTTCCAAACAGCACCGGACCAAACCATGTGCAGTAGACAACAGCCAGGCCCACTGTCCTTATCCAGTTCCCTCTGAGCATTTTGATTATGGCTTTTAGAGTATATTAATAGCCCCATTTTCGTCCACTGATGGTGTTGAGATGGTCCAAGGTGTTGTTTGCAATGAGCCTGGACTGTAAGTGGGAAATGTGAAGCAGAACTGATATCCCATGTTAGTGGGGAATCGACACTTCTCAAAAACTTGGCAACAATTCTACATTCAGTGAGGGAGGACTTACAAGAGTCAGACAGGAAAAGCAGAGAGTGGCCCATGCCTGAACTGCAGAACTCTCTGACGCCCTTGGTCATGGAGGTGTGGGTGGTACAATTCAAGCAGCATGCAGGCATTCGATGGGGAACAATCCAACGTTAGGTCAGAGTCTTAAGAAAAGTGCTTCATGCCTATGATTTGTGGCCTTGGGTTCTGAATCCAGGGATCTGGGAGACATGTGACTTTCAAATAGGAAGCCAGATACATTCTTATTGATCAGAGAAAAATGGGGCTTGATGAGGGTTGCACACACAGTCTCAACCTCTTCTCCCAGATGATCTTCTTAGATCCTGTTCAGACTTGCTTCCAGACTTCGCTAGCTGCTCCTGCACGAAGACCCTCAGATGGCTTGGAACATAGCATAACTACAGACATGAAAACCAGGTGGGTCCTCTACACATCTGGCTCAACTCAGAGCCCAAAGCAGCAGCTTTCTGGTAGCAGTGAGACATGCTCCTGTCTGCTCTACTCAAATATTTATCGGATCCATTTTGAGAGAAGAAAAGCACCAGAGACTGCTTGGGGAGGGACAGCTCCACCTCCTCACAGCTGTTCTACCTGGTCTCACAGACTGCCAGACAAACACAGCTGTGTATAAGGCAAGCTTGCTTTAATAATCCTGCCTGCCCACTTGGCTTTCTTCTTTTGCCCTCTTAGAAAAGTTCCACGGTCACTCAACCACCCTTGCTCAGAATAGCCACCTCGAGACATCGGTATTAAGGTACAGTGTTATCTGCAGTGTTTAGTTCTCAGATGTACTAGATGAATATTTTCAGCCTATGGAATTCAGACTAGTTTTGAGGGAATGTGGTGCAAGAGAAAGGTGTAACTGGCAGATAACCATCTTAGACTATCCACCTCATCATTTGGTTCCTATTCAAACAGGTAAATTCTTAATAAGTAAGAAGCAGGGTTTGATCCCAAGAAAGATGAGGGAAGGCTCCATTATGCTCTGGGAATTGCTGAAAAGGGCCCTGGGTTTCAGAAAGAATGGAAACTAAAAAGGAGATAAGCTGCCAGATGCCAGATCTCCATTTGTAGAATGCAAAGACATTGCACTTGGTACCTCCTCTTTCCCACGGGTTCTGATCCAGAAATGTGCCCTGGGAACTCAGCAGCTGAGTTAAAATATAACTCAAGGCCCACCTGAGTCGCCACCTTCCGGAGGCACCGTGCCAGCAAGGTGCACCAGTGTGGCAGACCTGAGGACTCCTATTGTCCCCTCAGGCTTGGCTCGTGGACTCAGACACTCACATGGGAGCACTTCCAGCCTGGATTAGTCATCCAATGGGCCTTTAATACAGACAAAGGCAACAACTGCACATTAGCGTATTTCTAAAACTGGGCAAGTCCTTTGTCTCTCTCTTACAGACACACATGGACAAACTCAAAGAACACAGGCACCACTGTGCTTGCACACCCACACACACTTATGAGCTTCTCTTGGGGGGAAAATGAGTAACATTCACCTAATGACCAACATAAAATGAAGCTTTGAATTTCAATAATACAGAGAACTAAAACTTAGAAACCGAACTAGTATACGTAAACGGGAATTCCTAACTCTCTCCTCTGAGCCTATTCAGTCACACAGCCACCCCTGGCCACCACCTTCAGCTCTGCCCGCAGGGAGCCACAGTTCTAGCCTCAGGTGAGCGTTCTGCGGAAGGCAGGCAGGACCCCTCCGCTCCCATCCATTATAGCTTCCTCTCCCACCGCCCCAAGTCCCACGTCTCTGTCTCCGCACTGCCTAATCACCCTTATGCAGACCGGGAACAAAATGGGGAATTCAAAAGTGCCACTGTATGTCTCATTCCCCCAACTCTTGTCCCATCAGAGAAAACAGAGCCAACCTCCCTTTTCCCATAAAACAGGCCCACGGCTGAGCATGCTCTGCGGGCAGAGGATGGGCCTAGGCAGGGACCCTCAGAGGACGTGTGCAAGGGAAAAGATGGTGACAAATGAAGAGTAAAGTGACACAGTGTATGGACATGGCATCAGCTTACAGATTTATGTCATTGACAAGGATGGTCAAGGTTTTAAGGTTTTTAAAGAAGCTGTTTCCCTAAACTCTCCAAGGAGGCAAAGGGAATGTTGTTTCTATTGCTTCACAACATTCTTGGAAAACATTTCCTTATTCAGCAGATCCCAAAGGCCTATCGAGCCTATCGGGGGCTTGGATCCAAATAAGAATTCTCATTCTACCTACAGGAACAAGCACCTATTCAAGTTCTAGGGCTTTTACTTTTCAACCTCACTGTCATTTTATCCTGAGGCTCCACAGACTTGGTCCTGCTCAGGTGACTCCTGATTTTGCCCTGTTGTTCAACAAGAAAGGAGCCCAGCACAAAGAACAGGCTAGAAAAGGAGAGGGGTGAGGGAGGGAGGGCGAGGGAAGGGAGAAGGCAAGGGAGGAGGGAAGCAAGGTCACTGGTCATTCTCTTGCTTTCCACTTCGACTATCACACTTTACCTTACCCATGCATTTCTGAGATGCTAATTAAAGGACATCTCCCAGAGTTGCTGCGTGCCAGATGAGCACCAGCACGTGTCAACCAGATTACGATGGTTAATCTGCAAAGAGGCCAAAGCTTCTCCCCAAGGGCATGGTTCTGAGTTTGGGCTTGAAGTCCTCTCTGCAGGTTTTTGCTCGTCTCTTCTCTCAGAAGGCAAAAGCTATTTACACCCTGGGAGAGGAGGAACTGGCTTTACTTGGGAACCAGTCCTCGAGACTGTGGATAAAGCTGAGATGCAGGGGTTCCTGAGGAAGAGGAGGAGGGTCCCGACTTCCTTCCGCTTTTAGGCCTGCAAAAATCAAGCACATTTTTACATGTCACGTCCCGTCTCTGTCCCCAACACAGATCAGATTCCTTTCTCGCCAAGTACCCTCAGCCTTTCCTCACTGGCCTGAACGCCAGTAGACCTTCAACTGTAAAACCACCAGACCGGCACAGCCTGACCCTCTGTGCATGGCCAGCATGACCTGCCAACCGAGGCGTGACACCTCAGGGAAGGGACCGGCTTCTTGGCAACTGTTCTTCCATTTAAATCAGATCTTCACTGTCTTTTCCGAATTGGTAAAAAATACTGTTTGCAGGTAGAATTTCTTCCATTTTTCGTTTTCACCCATTTGTTGTCCCTAAGCTTTTTTTTTCTTTCAAGATTTTATTTATTTATTTAACAGAGAGAGACACAGTGAGAGAGGGAACACAAGCAGGGGGAGTGGGAGAGGGAGAAGCAGGCTTCCCACAGAGCGGGGAGCCCGATGTGGGGCTCAATCCCAGGACCCTGGGATCATGACCTGAGCCGAAGGCAGAGGCTTAACGACTGAGCCATGCAGGCACCCCTGTCCTTAAGCTTCTAATCCAAAATTTAATAGGACAGAATTTCTAATTTAGCACCAAATTAAGTACTTGGTTATTTAATGGGTTATTTAAATGAGCTAAATTCATCAGTGAGGCTCAGAGCCTGGACTGTGGATTTAGACACACCTAGGTTTGAACCCTGGCTCTGGATTTACTTCCTTGAACTTGGCTACTTTCTAACAAATTCTCTAAGACTCAGTTTTCTTACCTTAGAGATTTTATAAATGGGATTAATGATAACATTTATCTTGTAAGTTTTTGCAGGAAATCAGAGAATTTTTTTAAAGCACTTAAAACTGCCTAGTACCTGGCAGGGACCAAAGAACTGTCCCCTATTTCACGAGAACACACGCTCCTTACGGTAGGAACTTGGGCACATTAGCCATTCTGGTGTTCATTAGACTTGACATAATGCCTGAACCGTAAGTATTTGTGGAATAAACGAATAAACATAGGAGTAATATGGCAGTATTTTCTGGTGTGTTTTGTAAAGCGTTCCATGATAAACCTCTACCTTCATTTGTCCTTGTTCAAGCATGTTCTGTTTAACCACAGGTCATCAAAAGCCACTCACCTGGCCTTCGATTTCTTATTTGTCGTGCTTTCAAAGGATGACGCATCCACCTGTATCTCATCTTCATCCTGCAGAGCTGCATCCAGTGCAGCCTGGACTTTGGGAGCAATGGCGGGGCCCTCGTAGTCTCTGGTGGTCCGGCTGGGCATGTCCAGCTCTAACAGCACGATGTTCTCTGCCTGCAGAAGCACAGTCATAACCAGTGAGGCTGGCCTCTGATCAGACACAGAAAGTACAAGCAAACCTGCCCCCCTCCAAAAAACAGAACTGCACATTTCTTGCTACTCAGAGCCTCCCAAGAGCCTGTAGTGACATAGTTTTATAACTTTTTTCCTGGTGAGGATACAGATGTTTTTATCTTCTTCTCTGGGCTTTCCTCTATTTCCTTAAAAAAGAAAATTTTTTTTTAAACAATGAACATATATTATACTCTAAGAGGAATAAGCAGGGAAAAATAATAAGTAGAACCCATTTACTGCAGACAATGTGAAAATACAAAAAGGTATAAAGAAGAAGATAGTAATCACTGATAATCTCACCACCCACAGCAGCTCTGATGAACCTTCTGGTTGCTGAGGGAAGGAGGCAGGTAGGAAGTACATATGTGGAAGGTATGTGGCAGTGTGTGTCTTGTAACCACATTTTATAAATCATACCGGGCCCTGCCTCATAACTGGCCTTGTGGCTGGATTCCTTCACCTGATAGCCTGTGGTGGGCCTTTCCCTGGCTCCTACAAACAGAGATGAGTGTGTAGAGGGAAGAACACCCATGGTACATATCTCCTCCTTCAGCAACTCCCACCCTGTAGAGTTCAAGCCCCAGAGGGGGCAGGAGGGCCACTGCAGGGAGAAGGTGGGGAGATGGAGGGGCTCCATCAATCAATGTTATATATTGAGATGCTGCTTAAAGTTTCTTTTCATGGACTGGGTCCATTGCTAAAAACATCTGAAGCCACTGCTTTAAATTCTACCTTTGGATCAGGCTAGTCCCCTGGAAACCCACATGTTTTGATTTGTAGGCTTTGAAATCATGTTTTTGTTTTGAGACATGAAATAATGGGCAAGAGATGCACCCTCTGAAACTGCTAGGAAAATGCTTCTGTGGACTCTGATACATCATTCACCTTCCGCTATAGAAAACCCCACCTAATGCAGCTTTTTTGCTTTTGTTTCCTTTATTTTAAACAACTCAGCACCAGGAAGAACAGTACCTGAGGAACTAATTAATCCCAATCTGTTTTGCTCTGGTGGCCAAGGGAGACTCAAAAACAGTTTAAATTTTTCAAGTGAGAATCTATCCTTAAAAAAAATAACACAGGTTCCCCTCTGATATAAAATACAGATAAGCAAAAAGAAGGCAATTTGAATTGAGTGCACTTCCATTAACCAGAGATAACCAGTTCACGTTTTGTTATATTTTACAGTAGCTTTAATTCATACGTAAGCTTCCAGTACCAACTGTTTCATAACTTAACAATACATTGTGTCTCCTGGTCCATCCATTTACCAGCTACCTACTAAGTCACAGGACCTGCTGCAGAGAGGAGGTAGGAGCGTCAGTTAGAGAAAGCAATAAAGGGCTGAGTGCATGGGCTGCATACAGCAAGTGCTTAGGAGTAGAAGTCCGCACAGTATTATTGTTGTAAAATGTTTGGGTCATTAAATAGTCTTCAATTATGTCACTTTAAATAACTACCTTGGGTGCCTGGGTGGCTCAGATGGTTAAGCGACTGCCTTCGGCTCAGGTCATGATCCCAGGGTCCTGGGATCGAGTCCCACATAGGGCACCCTGCTTAGCAGGGAGCCTGCTTCTCCCTCTGACCCTCCCCCATCTTGTGCTCTCTCTCTCTCTCTCTCACTTGCTCTCTCTCAAATAAATAAAATCTTTAAAAAATAAATAACTAACTAACTACCTGACTGACCCACATCCCGTTAAATGGAAGTACCGACCGCTCTTTAATTCATCTCCATCTCCTGTCATTACACACCTGCCTTCCCTCCAGCCTTCACACAGAGCCATTTTCAGGCTTCGTGTTGATGTTTCTTGGCCATTACTGACAGTATGTTTGGGCTCTCCACCTTCCCTAGGCCTAATTTTCTAAATCTCATTCTATTTTACCTTCTTATTCATAATTATTTGTTCTATTGTTATTTACTTAGTATATTTATTATTTGTTATAATTGTTATGTTAATATAAATGTCCTCAGGAACCTCTGGAAAGAGGCAGGATACAAACTCTGTGACTTTGCAGAATGGTGCCTGAGGGTTTACATAAACCTAAACTCCTTGAAAAGAGGAGAGAAACACAAGGATGATCTTCTCACCCTATATCGGGCCTCTGGACGAATCATCATGGACATTCTTGCGTGTTGGCTCAACGGTCTCTTATATCCCACAGCTGAGACTGGCCGCTTCATCATCTGCTGATTCCTGGAAATGGACTGCAGTGGTTAAAGCCCTGGCTGGAGTGTGTTCCGCAGTCCCAGGATCGTCCTGTGGAACCAGCTCTCAGAAGACACTGAGCCTATTTAACTAGAACCTGAACCTAGTAACTCCCTGGACTGAGGGCTGCCTTGCAAATGGGGCAGGAACTATTTATATTTTCTGTTTGAGTTGCGTTCTGATTCAAATGTGAACATCATACAGCTCTTAAATTGAAAGGGATCGGAGTCATCATCCCATTCTTAGATGGCAGGCGTGAAGCACAAATGTCAATATTCCCCATCCCCACATCCTTGGCAGACCCCAGACATAGACTGGAAGTCCTCCTCAACGCTGCGTCAGATTGCCATACAATATGACACCTATCTAGGTACTGCCCCTCCTTTGGCCTAGCATGCTTCACTTGACAGCTGAGGAAGTGCAAATGCAGGAACTTGGGAAAGGTCATGAATTCACTGTGATAGTCCCCCAATTCCTACCATACCCCTTGGGCCAAGTCCAGCTTTCCCACATTTTTCCCCTCCTCCCCACCTTAAAATCAATAGTGACTTACTCCAGTCTGGTTATAGGATGTAATTTCCAATGATCTTCCTCTTCATCAAAGAAGGATCTATTCATAATTTTACTTTTTTCTTCCAGAGGGATAAAGTTTTCTATAATAAGATGCCTGTAAGAGCACACACATGAGTGAACACAGGTGGACGAAGAAGACAGCTGGGGCACGGGCTATCCTACACACGGAGTCATCAGGTAAGAGTCAGGCCGCTCAGCAAACACTTACCGGGCAGGCACTGTGGGCCGACCACCAGGCAGAGAGTTGGGGTACACAAAGGAATGACACTTGGTCCCTGCCTGAGACAGAGAGGTAATGGTGTGGCCCTCTTAGATATGACAGGTGCCAATGGTGGGCTGCCCTAGGACTCTAGGGAGGTCACTTCTGCCCAAGGAGAAGCAGCTTGAGGAGGAGAACGGACTGAAGAAAAGTGGCCATGCCTGGACTATATCAGAGTGAACATGCGCTAACTGAAGTGTCTCTTAGAGGGCCACTGGTACTGCCAACCCAGCGCATCAACTTCCAAAATGCTGAAAACAGATTAGAAGGTAAACGGTCTTCTTCCCATGGATCGATGCCCAAGCTAGAAAACTTCCCACTCTAATCACCAGGACAAAGAGCAAGACTGAGTGGATTTCAGTCCCTTAGAGCACTGAGAATAAAGACCATTCCTGAGAAGAGTCTCAGTCTGAGAAGTGCTGGGGAACATGGCGAACAATGAAACTGGAACCCACTGGATTGTGTCTCTCCATGGTGACGACTGTCCCCTGCCACATCTCTGCATTCACGCTTTCAAAACCTCAGGACAGAACAATGCCCAACGGGGTGTTAACGTGGGAAAGACACACAACAAATACCACAGACGTGTAAGGTACAGACCGTGAGAAAGAGGCTGACTCACTGCTCATTCAAAAGGTATAAATAAGAGATATAACAATGAAAATGGCTTCCCTAGGGAAAAAATATTTCATAGAGATGAAATTTTCTACTTATTTTGTTTGAAACATTTAAGAAATTATTTTTATGACATATATTTGTTTTTTTCTGATTTTAAAAGTCCTATTTACAGTAGGAAATGTGAAAAATACAACTACATATAATTTCACTATCCAGAGATAGCTATTATTAATATTTTGACACATTTTGTTTTGATTTTTTTTCTAGGTGTACATACCTAGAAAGAGGACACATTAATTATAAGGGCTCCTTCCAAATTTAAAACTTGGTCATTAAAAGAATCCCTCTGAAGAGTTCTTTAAAGAAAAATTCCAGCTAGGGGTGCCTGGCTGGCTCAATCTGTAGAGCATGAGACTCTTGATCTCAGGGTTGTGAGTGCAAGCCTCACATTGGGTGTAGAAATTACTTAAAAAAAAAGAAGAAAAGCAAAATCTCAGTGAATGTTGTAGAAGGACTGATAGAGAAAAACAGTATTTTGCAACCCCTAATGAAATAATAATTTCAGACAAATTATTGTTGGTTGAAACCATTAACTCAGTTATTCTTAAGCCAGGCTACATGTTAATATTACTTACATTGTTCTGAAAAATATCTTGCCCAGACCTCATGAGAGACCATGTGTTCACAGAACCAGCAGGAGCAACAACTAGAATTTGTTAGAAATGTTAAATTCTCAGGCTCCATCCCAGATGAACTGAATCAGACTCTCTGGTAGGAGAACCAGCAATCTGTACTTAATATGCCCTTCAGATGATTTGGTGCCTGCTAAAGCTGAAGGACCAATAAGTCAAAATCTTCGGGGTGGGGCCTTTTTAAAATTCCTTATATGATTTCGGTGTGCAGCCAAGGTTGAGAACTAGTACTTCAGAACTAGCTTTCAGTTAAAGCTTTCAGTTAAAATCCAGACTGTGAGATATTTCTACAGGCTGTCCTGGCTTTTCAGTAAGTCAACTGCAAAAAAAGTTTTTAAAAGGAAAAGGGATTGCTCCATATTAAAATAAGCTGAAGACAAATAATAACCAAATGCAATATGTGGTCTTTATCTGGATATTAATATGAACAAACCCATAAAATCTGAATATGGGTAAGGCCTGAGATAATACTAAGGAACAACATTAGTTTTGTTAGGTGGAAAGATATCATTGTGTATACAAAAATCAACTGTAATTCTACACACTAGCAATAAACATTCTGAAAATAAAATTAAGAAAAACAATTCCACATACAATAGCAAAAAAAAAAAACAACTTAGGTATACATTTAACAAAAGAAGTGCAAAGACTTGTCTCTTGAAAACCACAAAACATTCTTGACAGAAATTAAAGATCTAAATAAATAAAAAGACATCCCATGTTCATGGATCAAAACACTTAACTGTTAAGATGACAGTACTCTCCAAATGGATCTATAGAGTCAACACAATCCCTATCAAAATCCCAGCTGGCTTTTTCACAGAAATTGACAAGATGATCTTAAAATGTATACAGAAATGTAAGAAACTCCAAATAGCCAAAAACAATCTTGAAAAAGAACAACAAAGTTGGAGGACTCGTACTTCCTCATTTCAAGACTTACTACACAGCCATAGTAGTTAATAGTAGTTAAGACAGTGTGGTATTGGCATAAAGACAAGCAAATAGATCAATGGAACAATATTGAGAGTTCAGAAATAAACCCTTCCATTTATGATCAACAAGGGCGCAAAGACAATGAGAGAAGACCCTTTCAACAGATGGTGCTGCGACAACTGGATATCCACATGCAAAAGAATGCACTTGGAACCCTACCACAGACTATATATAAAAATTTACTCAAAATGAATCATAGACCTAAATGTAAGACCTCAAACTTTAAGACTCTAAGATGACCTAAGGGAATTGAAAACATAAGTCCACAATAAAACTTGTACACAAATGTTCACAACAGTATTATTCAGATTAGCTAAAAAATAGAAACAACCCAAAGGTCTATCAACTGATGAATGGATACATAAAATGTGGTATTGTCATATGATACAATATTATTCAACCATAAAAAAAGAATGAAATATTGATATGTGCTACATGTATTACCCTTGAAAACACTATACTAAGTGAAAGAAGCCAGCCACCAATGGCCACATTATTCCATTATAAACTGATACGCAATATCCAGAATAGGAAAATTTAGATACAGTACCAAAAGTTTAAGCAACAAAAGAAAATATAGATAAATTGGACTATATCAGAATTAAAATCCTTTGTGCTGCAAACAAAATGCCATAAGGAAAGTGAAAAGACAACCCATAGAATGTGAGAAGATATCTGCAAATCACATATCTAATAAAAGACTTGTCTCTAGAATACAGAAAGAACTCTTACAACACAATAATAAAAAGACCCAATAAACTACCCAATTTTAAAATGGGCAGAGGATTTGAACAGACATTTCTCCAAAGAAGATATGCAAATGGTCAGAGCACATAAAAAGACATTCTATCATTAGTCATTAGAGAAATGCAAATCAAAACCACAATGAGATACTACTTCACACCCATTAGGATGGCTATAATAAAAAGGACAGACAGTTACCAGTGTCAACAGGATGTGGAAAAATTGGTGGTGGAAATGTAAAATGATACAGCCATTCTGGAAAACAGTTTGGCAATTCCTCCAAAAGTCAAACACAGAGTTACCATAAGACCTAAGCAATTCTACTCCTAGGTATATATCCCGGAGAAATGAAAACACATTCATCTAAAAACTTGTACATGAACGTTCATAGCAGCATTATCCATAATAGCCAAGGACTGAAAACAACCCAAATGTCCATCAACTGATAAATGAATAAAATGTGTGGTATATCCATAAAATCCAGTATCATTCAGCCATAAAAAAGAATGAAGTCCTGACATGTTACAACATGGATGATCCTTGGAAGCATCATGTTAAGTGAAAGAAACCAGTCACAGAGGGCCACATATCGTAAGATTCCGTTTATATGAAATGTCCAGAACAGACAAATTTACAGAGACAGAAAGTAGGTTAGTAGGTACTTAGGGGTGAAGGGTGGCGGGTAATAAGGAATGACTGCTAACTAGTACAGGGTTTCCTTGTGGGGGTGGACAGGGAGACACAAAAAATGTTCTAAAATCAGATTGCAGTAGCAGCGCCTGGGTGTCTCAGTCAGTTAAACCTCTGCCTTCAGCTCAGGTCATGATTCCAGGGTCCTGAGATCAAGTCCCGCATTGAGCCCCTTGCTCAGCAGGTAGTCTGCTTCTCCTTCCCTCTGCCTGCCACTCCCCCTGCTTGTGCTCTTGTGCTCTCTCTCTCTGTCAAATAAATAAAATCTTTAAAAAATAATTTTAAAAAATCAGATTGTGGTGATGGTTTTATAACCCTGTAAATACATATTTTTGAAACTGACTTGTATACTTTATTCATTCATTTATTTATTTAGGGGGCGGGGAGAGGCAGAGGGAGAAAGAATCTTAAGCAGGCTCCATGCCCAGTGGGGAGCCTGACACGGGGCTCGGGCTTACAACCCTGAGATTACAACCTGAGCTGAAAGCAAGAATTGGATGCTTAACCAACTGAGCCACCCAGGTGCCCACAGACTTGTATACTAATTTATATAGGTGAATTGTGGGGCACCTGGGTGGCTCAGTCGTTAAGCGTCTGCCTTCGGCTCAGGTCATGATCCCAGAGTCCTGGGATCGAGCCCCGCATCGGACTCCCTGCTCAGCGGGAAGCCTGCTTCTCCCTCTCCCACTCCCCCTGCTTGTGTTCCCTCTCTCGCTGACTCTGTCTGTCTGAAATGGATGAATAAAATCTTTTAAAAAATAAATAAATAAATAAAAATAAACAAGTGAATTGTATGGTATGTAAATTATACCTCAGTAAAGCATGTTTTAAAACAGCATTAGGATCATGTATGTAAGTATGCAGGAATGAGATAACATGAGGTTAACATTACATGAGATTTTAGGGGTGCCTGGGTGGCTCAGTCAGTTAAATGTCTGCCTTCAGCTCAGGTTGTGATCCCACGGTCCTGGGATCGAGCCCCGCATCGGGTTCCCTGCTCAGCGGGGAGTCTGCTTCTCCCTCTCCCTCTGCCTGCTGCTCTGCCTACTTATGCTCTCTATCTCTGTGTCAAATAAATAAATAAAATCTTTAAAAAAAAACATTACATGAGATTTTAGAATATTTCTATGAAAGATAAATGACAAAAGGTTGTTTATCAATGAATCTGGGTGGTGGGCATTCGGATGTTCATTATACCTTTCAGAAAATTCTAGTTAATAATAGATTCCCTCTTATCAATAGAGGCTGGAGCCTTTAAAAACTTCAAGCAGGTAGGGTGGAAGGAAATTTGGAGATCATCTGGTGAAGTCATTCACCTAACAGATGGGACCCAGAGACAGAAAGTGACTTTCTCAAGAATAAACAAAAAACAGAAAAGGTGGGGAGTAGGCAGGGGCCCTGTCTTTAGAGACCTGTTTCTTACTCAACAAACAACCACTGGCAAGTGGCTGGGGGTGCCATGAAAGGTCCAGAACTTACTTCAGTTTCAGCTCCCTTGTGAGCTCGTTCTGAGTCTGTTCCAGCTCCTGACGCTCCTTGATGTGCTCTTCTTGGAGGTCATGGATCTCTGCCTTCACCGCCTGAAGCTTGGAGAAGAGCTGGAACCGAGGAGAAAGGCAGGTGAGGAGGGGAGCCCTCCAAACAACAGAGTTCTTCCCTTCCCCCAAGTCTCAAGACACCTCTGCCTGGCCTCATTCCTTTATACCTTCTTGAGTTTTTTGGTCTTGATGTCCACCTCTTGCTGCAATGAGCTGTACGTCTCTTTAAGTTCCAAGGTCTCCTCATCTCTGCTTTCCATCTGTTGCTGGATTTCTCTTTCTCGACGTTTCTGAGCAACATCACATAATTCATCGCATAATTCATCACACAGTTCATCAGAGACAATGTCTATACAAGAATACAGAGCTGGGTGCTCCAGACCAAAGTCTCCCACTAGGAAGGGGCTGAACACCTTGTTTTCATTCCCTCTGAAGAATCTAACACAAGAGATATTTGCTCTGTAGCACTGGTGTACCTTATCCCACCCTCTTCTCCTCAAAAGGGAATGAAAAGTTACCTGCTCTGCAATTTCCTGCCGTTTCTGCTCCAGGATTTTCTGTTGTTCATTTGTATGATCTACTATATTTTTTCCTCCAACAAGCAGCTTACTCTCCATGGCCTGAGTGAGAAAAAAGTAGAATCCATCTCGTGAATGATCTCCCTCAGAACATACCTCCTCATAGGGCAGCCTGTAAAACATAATGAGCTTAGGACTGAGCCAAAGGAGTGAACTCTGGGGGAAAACAGATTGTGCACAGCAGCGTCCTTACCATCACCAGGGTGGGACTGAGGTGGCTCCACTGGGGCTTTACCTTAGAAACACTGAAGACACAGCTTCCCCAGCCATATAGGAATTTCAGCTTTCTTAAAAAAAAAAAAAATTTTTTTTTTTGTTTGTATGTACAAAGTATTGGCCTTACTTAAAACATACTGAGTACCTCCCATGTGCTAGGTACTAGGAATGCAACTGAATATGAATCACACAGCTGAAGACTCCACTGTGGACCACAGACAAATAAGCAGGCTCTTATGCTACGGAGTCAGACACCATCATAAGGAAAAGACAGAGAAATAATGGGAGAGGCATATGGGAGGGGAGAGGATTCAGGCTTTTGGAGGGAATCAAGGAAAGCTTCCTGTCTCAAGAGTGCTGAAGTAAAAACAGGAATTAGCTAAGAAAAAAAAAAATGCAGCGGTGCCTGGGTGGCTCAGTCGGGTAAGCATTCGACTCATGATGTCGGCTCAGGTCATGATCTCAGGGTCGTGAGATTGAGCCCCACATCAGGCTCAGCGCTGAGTGTGCAGTCTACTTGAGATTCCCTCTCTCCTCCCTCTGCCCCTCCCCATGCTCACACAAGCCCTCCCTCTCTCTCAAATAAATAAATAAAATCTTAAAAGAAAAAAACATTGTGTGTGAGAGGGTAGGATAGGAAGTGGTGCTACATGAAGTTGGCAAAGCAATCAGGGGTCAGTTCAAAAACATCAAAGCCCTATTAAGGGAAACTAAAGTTGATCTGAGAACCGCAGGAATCGCACTGACTGTTCTTTGAGCATAAGGGTACACAGTCAGATTTGTGTTTTAGAAACATTCTTCACCCACCATAGGAAGGATGACTGGAAAAGGGAAGGCCAGGCAAGGAGACCAGCCAGGAGGCTGTTTTGAGGATTCAGAGGCCTTGGGACTGACTGGGCGGTAAGTGAGAGGGAGACATAGCTAGCAGGGGTAACTCCTAGGGGTCTGGCTTGACTGCGAAGAGGAAGGCAGGAAAAAAAAGAAAGAAAGAAAAGAAAAGGAAGGCAGGAACACGTTCTGGGTGGCCATGGCCATCTCTGGAAATGTCCAGTAGGCAAAGACTATCAGGCTTGAATGTTAGGAGACAGCTCTGGGCTGGCTATAATAGATGGGACACCTTGAGCATTTAGATGGTGGCTAAAGCCATGGGAGTGATTTGTACCTGAAAAGCACAGAATCCAAAAACTCCACGACCTTGCTTTTGAGAATCTTATGAACATTAATAGTAGCCCGTTGCCATCTTTCAGTGAGCCCTTGGGCCCATTTCCTCTTCTCTCAAAATGAAGTGGTTGGACTGGATTACTAACCAGCCCCCACTCCCCCACACACACACTCTTTCCAGGTGTAAAATATTTTTGTCCTATGATTTTACAGCATCCAGAGATTTCGAGAGACAGAAGTAATCATTCTCCCATAAACAAAACATCTAAGAGATTCAGTGACCTTGAGGTAATACTGAGTCTTGCCACACCTGACCTCTGAGAGTTGCCCAAATAACCCAGGTTGTTTAGAGAGTCTAGGTGTTCCTGGGCTTGAATAATAGATGTGATCCTAAAAACCAGCATGCACATCAAACAGGGGCACACTCCGTTACACTTTAAGTGCAGGAATGTGGAGGGGTAAAGTGGCGTCTGACGTTCAGGAATCCCAGAGTAAGCTCCTCCCTGAAACAAAGTGACCTCCGAACTGTGTTGTATAGGACTCCATTTGCACATCAGGTCTTGAAAGCTCTGGAACAGACCCCTGCCTCTGAAGTAAAATAGAACCCAGCTCTGTGAAAGGGCTACCATGAAGCCACAGATAAAGCACAGCTTCATACAGTGGGGAAAGTGGAGGCGAGAAAGAGATCACTGGTCATTTCTAAATTAATAAACAAGGATACGTTTGAGCGTCGAAATCAGTTTTCATAAATTCACTAAGAAAGAACCCAACACCTCAGAGCCGTTCTGGCTGGTGGGCAGGCAGCGGTCATCCCCAGATTGCCAGGGCTAGCTCTGTCCTCTCGTCTGCCAGTAAAGGCCTATGGCAGCCCAGAGTCCAGGCACCTGATGGAATAGTACACTGGCACCAGAAAGAAAATACACAGGAGTCTCCACGCTCTAGAATGCTAGTCAGCCACTGACTCACAGGGGTTGGAGGTTGAGGGAGGAGGCTGACTACAAGGGAGCATTTGTGGGCAATGGAACTATTCTGTATCTTGTATGGTTAGGGCACTACATATTAAAACCACAATGAGGGGCGCCTGGGTGGCTCAGTCGGTTAAGCGTCTGACTCTTGATCTCAGCACAGGTCTTGATCTCAGGGTCATGAGTTCAAGCCCGGAGTTGGGCTCCACGCTAGGCATGGAGCCTACTTAAAAACAAACAAACAAACAAAACCCACAATGAGATACCATTTTATATACATCAGACATATGAAAATTAAAGCAGATAGTCTTAAGTGCTGGTAAGAACGAGGAGCAACCAGAGTTCATATGTGCTGGTAGAAGCTTCACTTCATATGGCCACCTCCGAAAACAACTTGTGATTATCTAGTAAAATTGGGGCTGCACATACCCGAGGACCTGATGGCGCCAGGTAAGAAATTCTTGCTCATCCGTGTTCTCCTGGAGCCAAGTACAAAAACGTACGTAGCAAAAAATGGAAACAACCCACTATCCGGAGAATGGAATGCCACTCACTTCTCAGAGCAGTAATAAAGAATGAATCACAGCTGCAAGCATCAACCTAGACAAACCTCATTACATAAGGCTGGGCAAGTAAAAGCAAACTGCAGCAGTGGGATTCCATTTATACAAAGGTACAAAATTATGTGGAACTATCTTTTTTTTTAGAGGTATATACGTACATGAGAAAACTGTAAAGCAAAGTCAGGAAACAATAAACACCAAATTCAAAACAAGGGCTAGCTCTGGGGGTGGGGGACACAAAGCTTGTAAAGATACGGATTACGTTCTATTTCTCACACTGGCCGTGGGGCCCATGGGTGTCCATTTTATTGCTGCTTTTCATACCTTGCACATATGTAATAATTATTCTTCCCATGAGTTCAATATAAACTTGAAGAAATGGTTTTTATTTCAGTTCAACCAATGTTTACTGGACACTGGATCCCATGGGGCTGTTGGGACTGTAAAACTGAAAGGGACATCATCCATCATTGTCATTTTTTGGATAAAATGGAAAGCACTGAGAGAACAAAGGCCCGAGGAAGGCCGTGGTACCTTGATTTTGGCGCCCAGCATCTCGGCAGCATCCTTCTCCCGCCGCAGGTCCTCCATCTTCTTCTCCTTCTCCTTCAGCAACCTCATCTTCTCCTCTGCAACCAAGCTGTGGTCTTCTACAATGGCCCGCTTCTCAATCTCCAGTTTTTCTTGCTGTTCCCGCCAGTAATCATCCTTATCATCCCCTTCCTCCTCACCCTCTTCTCCCTCCTCCTCCTCCTCCTCCCCGCCCCCACCACTGCTGCCACCTTCCCTCCGCTTCTCTCGCCTCTTCCTCCTGCCAATGGATCGTTTTTCCAGCTGGGCCTTGAGCCGAGCAATCTCTTCCTGGAATTCTCGAAGGAGGGCATCTTTAGGGTCCTCATTGACCCTTGGCTTGTTCTTAATGTTTTTGGCACGGTTGGCATATCTCAGAGTGGTCAGAGTCTCTTCTACATTGTATGAGGCAGGGCCCACGTTGGCTACCATCACAGTTTTAGCATTGCCACCCAGAGAATCTTGGAGGAGCCTGGTCAGCTTTGAGTCCCGATATGGAATGTGAGTGCTTTTGCCGTCCACCAGGGCAGAGATGACGTTACCTAAGGCTGAAAGGGACAGGTTGATCTTGGTGGCCTCCTTCAGTCTTTCTCCTTGTGCACCGGTCTTGGCTTGCCGTTCGCTGCCAGCAAGATCCACCAGGTTCAATTTCCCTACACGGATATGGTTTTCTCCATCAAGGCCCACCTCACTGCACTCAATGGTGATTACAAAAATTGCATGAGAGCGCGAACTGTGCTCGTTCATGTTGGTAGCGCCAACAGAGCGGTTCTGGTTCCCCACGTTCATCACGTGCTCTATTTCCTTCACGCTCTTGGTGACAAAGGAAGACAGGTCTTTCACGTACACGCCAGTGTCAGGCCTCTCTTTGAGCTCTAGCCTTTTGGTCTGATCCTTTGAGAGCAGATCTCGGATCTCCTCCTGGTAGATCTCCAAGTAAGAAGCCCTCACCAGGTACTGTTGATTCTGGGACCGAGAGATATGGGTGAAGATGTGGTCAAATGAGTTAGGGATGACCCCTCTTTTCTCAGGATCACCACGGACTCCTTCCATCGTGTAGGTTTTCCCAGTCCCGGTTTGTCCATAGGCAAAAATCGTCCCATTGAAACCCTGCAAGACGGAGTCCACGAGCGGTCGGAATGTCTCATCGTAGAGTTCAAACTGCTTGGCATTCCAGTCATAGACTGCATCAAAGGTGAAGGTCTTGGGCATTTCATGGGCCACTCCTTTGGGGTTCTTCACTGACACCTGCCCCAGCTTCACGTCCACATCCACCACCTTATCATATGAAGCAGCCTTTTCCTTGCCATTCATGGGCCGACAGCGAACGACCACCCTGACTGACTCCGAGCTTTTTAACTTTGACATGATGAACTCTGACCGGGTCAACCTTGAGCACTGTGAATCCAAAATGTCTCAGGATGCTAAGGTCCTAGAAAAAAAGCAAAAGTAAGTAAGGACAGCACAGTTGTCACTGAAGGCTGCTCAATAGCACCCGACACACCCATGTCACCTTCACCTGGCCGACCTTCTGACGGCTACATTAAATCCCTGTAGTGCACGCTGTACCTCTTTACAGGGTCTTAACGAGCTTCAGTGGGGACAGTACAGCCTTTAGTCCCCGGTAGTGTGGACAGGCCTGTCTTCCCTTTAACTGATACTCTATCTTATACTCCAGGTTGCGGCAGCTAGAAACCTTCTAAAAGCCTAGATAATCTTATGTCCTGTTGAACTACTAAAACCTCTGCAGAGAGCAATTTGAAACTATCTATCAATACCTTTTGACGTAGCAGTTGTATTTCTAAGAATTTACCCCACAGATACAAGGATATTCGTTGTGGCATCATTTGTGGTAGCAACAGACTGAGGAGGCTGATTGAATAAATCAAGTATATATGTAATAACACATATACAGCAGAATCCCGGGCAGTTACTGAAAAGAACGTCCTAATCTAAATGTAAGCGTGTACTAAGACGCAGTGCTAATGAGTACAGTGAACACGGTGTGTAAGCAGGTGGGTCTATGCACTCGTGTTTATGTTTGATATGCAAAACAATATTCTTAGAAGTATGCATATCAAAGTGGTAACAGTGGCAGTCTCAGCAGGGGAACTGTGGGCCCAGAGGACTCTCAGGTCAAGAGAGAGAGAAAAAACTTCACTTCATGCTCGTTTGTACTGTTTGAATTTCCTATCTTGTGCCAATAATACTCTTCCATTCTAAAATCATAAACTATGGCTTATGCAAAATGTATGCAAATAAATGATGTGGTGTAATACGTTACATAGTAAGCACTTATTCAACCAACAAATGGAATACAATTTGAATTCAAATAAAAAAATAGGTGTTAAAATTTTTTTTTAAATAGGAACGCCTGGGTGGTGCAGTAGGTTAAGTGTCTGACTCTTGGTTTCAGTTCAGGTTGTGGTCTCAGGGTCGTGAGATCAAGCCTCGCGTGGAGCTCCGGGCTCAGCACAGAGTCTGCTTGAGACTCTCTCTCCTCTCCCTCTGCCCCTCCCCGCCTCTAAAATAAACAAATAAATCTTTAAAAAATTTTTTTTTTCAGTAAAAACAAAAAAGAGAACTTCATTTGGTGCCAGAAAACTCAGAGAGAAGAAAGGATGATTAAATGGGTCCTTTGGGAAGGGGTAGCAAGCAAGCAGATCAGAGTGAAGAAGTACATACGAGGACCCCAAATTCCTAAAAACCTCCGTGTGGGGTGGTTTTGGCTTTTCTTTTAAGTAGGTGATTCTCCTGCTTCTTGATTCAGTGACCTCTTCAGTGACAGGTCCCTCTCCCTCACATGTTCTCCAGCTGCCAAGGTCCCTACCCACAAGGCAAGTATTATTAGATTTTTAATCTTCCTGAGCTAGTTTATGCATAGCAAGCAAATATGTAATAATACATACTTACCCCCTCTTTTTTAACGCAAGTGTAGAATGTTATACACAGTAATAACACAGTGTCCTGCACCTTGCTTTTCCTCACTAAACCACATATCTTGGCATTTGTTCCCTCAATAAATATACAGCTGCCTTATTCTTTATGACAACAGCAAAATATCCCACTGCATGGAAGCGTCATAATTTATTTAACCACAATCCTAGCACTTAAGCTGTTTCTGATATTTTACTGTGAAAAAACTAGGCCCACATCCTTTCACGTGTGGGAAAGTGTATCTGTAAGATAAATTTCTAAAAACATACTGCCGGCGCACAGGATATATGCATTTGTAATTTTAATAGACACTTAGGACAGTGCTAACAATTTCTTTTTAGTTGTGAGGGTGACCTATTCCCTGCCAACAAAGGAGCGGGAGAATGTGAGGCAGTGATGGGCCAGTCTATGGCTTATGTACTGGACGTTAATAAATATAGAGTCAGTATGTTCTCCCATGAAGCTTTTATAAAAAATTCTGCTGCTGCTAAGTACATGGAAACATGAAAATTATTTTTTATACTTTCTAGTCGTTACATGTAACAAAACAATGTCTAGAATGAAGAGCTAGAAGACCTCTAACCCATTTTCTATAAAATTGGTAAAACAGGGAGAATTCTCCTTTATGGATGATTGTGAGACTAAGGGGTACTTACAAAGGTGGAAGTACGTTAAGAACTAACATAAAGCTGGATTAAAATAAGCTGATACAGATTCATCCAAAACCCTCGTCAAAGGGTCATTCCAGAGATTACTGGTGAGCCCTAACTTTTATTCTCTTGTTCAGTTTGTAGTCATCACCCTAAAAAAAAAATCAGATTAAACTAATCAATGTTCAATTAGTAGTGAAGCTCAAGGGGTACCTGGGTGGCTCAGTCGGTGAAGTTTCTGCCTTCAACTCAGGTCATGATCCCAGGGTCCTGGGATCGAGCCTCGCATCAGGCTCCCTGCTCAGCCTGCTTCTGCCTCTCCCTCTACTGCTCCCCCTACTTGTTGTGCTCGTTCACGCTCTCTCTCTCTCTCTCTCAAATAAATAAATAAAATCTTAAAAACAAAAAAAGTGAAGCTCAAGCCATTTAAGGAAAACCATGTAAAAGACAGTCCCTCCCTCATTCCCCACCTTCTATATGCTACTACAGTTTTGCCTAATGAGAAGAAAGAACTAGATGTTAGAATGGCCAGTCTGCTTACCGCGTCTCCCTTTCTCTTCCAGGGCAATGGCCCCCAAGCTACCACTGCAGTGTTACCCGTGCGTGTCTCTACCTCCATGTCGGTAGAGACCTGCAAAAGCTGTCCAGGTGCCAAGCTCAAACCCCCGCCCCCTGAGCCTCCTGTGGGGAGGCCTCTGCTGCAGCTCATGGGATGGTTTACACAAGGTCCTGGACTCAAGTAAGAAACGTAAGGGGTGGGGGTGGGGAGGCGCCTGGCTGGCTCAGCCAGTGAAGCCTGCAACGCTCTTGATCTCGGGGTCATGAGTTCAAGCCCCACATTGGGTGATTACTTAAATAAAACTTAAAAACAACAACAACAACAACGTGGGGGGTTAAGTGGAGAATGCGTCAGTGGAGAGACCAATTGTTCTGCATTGCATATCCCTGAAGAGGCAGAGCCGTCCAGCTTTTACCTATCAAAACAATGTGGCCCCAAGCTTGTTTAAAAAAAAAAAAAAAAAAGCCTGCAGCAGGGTGACCTTGATGTTCAGCTGCTTGTGTTAGAGCACCGTCTATTTTTTGAGCGCTCCAAAACAATAAAAACAAAGGAATGATAATGACCTACAATCATGTTTAAAATGTTTTAAAAAGAAGGAATTCCCAAAGCCTGCGTCCCCTTAATTAAATCTCAACTCAGAACACAGAACACCATTTCTTTTCAGAACCCACTGAGCTCGACTAAACTAGTCATGTATTATTGACGTAGTACTTCAGGAAGATGGGCTAATTTAATTTCCTGCCACCAGGGCTTAAAAACTTGCTCTGGGTCCTCCTCAAAGGAGAGGGTTTTCTTGGAAGGATGCCCTGACACTCTTTCTTTACTTTATTACCTTCCTTACTCTCCTTCTAGCCGGTCTAATTACAGTGATAAATCTTTAAAGGAACTCACAGCATTGCCAGGAAAGAAGCAACCACAGGTCAGCAGCTCGTCACCTTCATCCTGAATACCTTTTCTGTTAGAACTTGTCATTCTAACATTAACAACCACAGTTTGAATGGCCACTACACATGAAAAACTGAGTTTCTCCCCCAACTCCAATTCTTTTGTCCACTGAGGAAGTCAGTTACACATTTTTCATGGCAATGACACTCCTCCAGATCCTTCTCCAGCTCTTCTATCTGGATTAATGCACCCTCACCTTTGCTAGTTGTCACGGAGTCTTACCTCAAATTCTAGAACTAGGTGTGGATTGGATTCTCACTATGGTCTTCCTATAAAGATTCTAGGACAGAGGTCACAAACTGGTCACATTCTACCTGAAGCATTTTATTTGGACCATGTTATTTGTTAAAAAAAAAAAAAAAAAGCCTCAGCAATTTCACTTCTATGTATGTGTATGTCCTAGTGAAAAACCTTTGCACATGTACACAAGGAGACATGGACAGGGATGCTTCCTGCAGCATGTTAAAATAGAAAAATGGGAAACAACCTAAACATCTATTTTCAGGGGAACTGAAAATATAACATATGGTGTAATCATATAGACACCACACTATTCAGTAGGTAAAAGGAATCCATTAAAGCAGGGGTCAGCCAACTATAGCCCATGGGCCAAATCTAGCCCACAACCTGTTTTTTGTAAATAAAATTTTATTGGAACACAGCCATACCCGCTTGTTTACGTATTATGTATGGCTGCATTAGCTATAAAATAGCAGGGTTGAGTAGCTGTAACAGAGACAGGCTGGCTCACAAAACCTAAAATATTTACTGCCTGATCCTTTACAGAAAAAGTCTGCCAACCCCAAATTAGACATATATATATTTACATGGATAAATAAACAAGTTGAGTGAAAGAGCAAGTGCAGAGTGATAATTATGATTAAAAATTTATAAGACAATATGGTGCTCATGGAGTTGCGTTTATTTATATGTAAGTAGTAAAAAATGGGATAGAAAGACATACAACAACTTATGATAGCAGCTGCCCAAATTGGGCAGGGTGAGAGGTGGAGAATGGGATTAAAACTGGGAAGGATATTTCAATTTTATCTGTAATACTTTATCATTTATCTTAAAAAAAAAAACAGGGAGGGGCACTAGGCTGGCTCAGTTGGTGGAGTGAGCAACTCTTGATCTCAGGGGTTGTGAGTTACAGCCCCACATTGGGAGTTAAGTACACTTAAAATAAAACAAAACAAAAAAAATGGGAAATGAGGCTTGAAGAAAATAAGAGAATATGTTAACAGCTGTAAATCCTGATTGTTTCTCATATTATTCTCTGAATGTTTAAAATCTTCTCAAAAAAAAAAAAAAACCCACCAATTTCACATTTAAAAAAAAAA